ATATGTATATATATGTGTACATTTATATATATGTATATATATGTGTATGTGTATATGTATATGTGTATGTGTATATGTATATGTGTGTGTATATATATATGTGTGTGTATATATATATATGTGTGTGTATATGTATATATATGTGTGTGTGTATATATATATGTATGTGTATATGTATATGTATGTGTATATGTATATATATGTGTATATTAATATGTATGTGTATATGTCATGCCACGTCCCAGCCTGTTTCAAGTCCTCCATCATCGTCCCTGTCCCCAAGAAGCCACGTGTCACAGGACCAAATGACTACAGACCTGTTGCTCTCACATCTGTAGTCATGAAAACCTTTGAACGCTTGGTTTCATCTCACCTCAAGTCCATCACCAACCCCCTCCTGGACCCCCTGCAGTTTGCCTACAGGGCCAACAGGTCTGTAGATGACGCAATAAACCTGGCTCTTCACTTCATCCTGCAGCACCTGGACTCCCCAGGAACCTACGCCAGGATCCTGTTCGTGGACTTCAGCTCCTCATTTAACACCATCCTCCCTGCTCTGCTCCAAGACAAGCTCTCCCTGCTCCATGTACCTGACTCCACCTGCAGGTGGATCACAGACTTCCTGACAGACCGGAGTCAGTGCGTGCGGCTGGGGAGAGCTGTCTCGGACACTCGGACTATAAGCACAGGATCTCCACAGGGCTGTGTGCTTTCCCCCCTGCTTTTCTCCCTGTACACCAACTGCTGCACCTCCAGCCATCACTCTGTGAAACTTATTAAGTTTGCAGATGACACCACCCTCATCGGGCTCATCTCGGACGGTGATGAGTCTGCATACAGGAGGGAGGTGGACCGGCTGGTGACCTGGTGCAGCAGCAACAACCTGGAACTCAATGCCCAGAAGACAGTGGAGATGATTGTGGATTTCACGAAAGCCACAGCCCCTCTGCCCCCCCTCACCTGTAATACCCCCATCACCACTGCAAACTCTTATCGGTTCCTCGGCACCACCATCACCCAGGACCTCAAGTGGGAGCCGACCATCAGCTCCCTCATCAAGAAGGCCCAGCAGAGACTGTACTTCCTGCGACAGCTGAAGAAGGCCAAGCTGCCGGCCAAGCTGATGGTGCAGTTCTACACGGCCATCATCGAGCCCATCCTCAGCTCCTCCATCACAGTGTGGTACGCCGGGGCCACTGCCAGGGACAGACTGAGACTGCAGCGCGTTGTGCGCTCAGCTGACAAGGTGATCGGCTGCAGCCTTCCATCCCTCCACGACCTGTACGTCTCCAGGACTGTGAGGCGAGCAGGTCGGATCACAGCTGACCCTGCTCACCCTGCACACGGACTGTTTGAACCACTCCCCTCAGGCAGGAGGCTTCGGTCCATTCGGACCAGAACCTCCCGCCATAAGAACAGTTTCTTCCCCTCTGCTGTTGGACTCCTGAACACTCATAATGCTACCTCATAATTTCTGCTTTGGTCACATTACATCTGTATTATAATTGAATACTCCATCTGTACTGTTCTCTAAGCTTTTTTATTGTTTTCTATTGTATGGGTGTACATATGGTTATGTTATGTTTTTAATTTTACTTTATTTGTGGGTGTACACAGGTCTTATGTCTTATGTAATGTTCTCATTTTTACTTATTTTTACTTTATTTTTACTTTATTTTACATTATTACTATTCGCGCCTTATGTCGAAGCAAATTCCTAGTTTGTGAACCTCGTTCATTGACATGGCGATAATAAACTGATTCTGATTCTGATGTATATATGTGTATATTAATATGTATGTGTATATGTATATATATGTGTATATTAATATGTATGTGTATATGTATATATATGTGTATATTAATATATATGTGTATATGTATATATATGTGTATATTAATATATATGTGTATATGTATATATATGTGTATGTATATATGTATATGTATATATGTATATAT